TCGCCTCCTTGGTGAGTGTTATGCTGGTGGGGGAAGCTGTTCCATGGGTGTGAGGATCTGTGAGGTGGATAACAGGGTCTCAGAAGATACTGGGATGAGGGGCGGTGGATCCACTGAAGGGGAAGGGACAGGGAGGGTATGGGGTGAAAGGGGAGGGAGACAGGAAGAAAAAGGGGGGAGGGGGACTTGGCGGGAGGAGGGGAGGGGTAGAAGGGTGGGGATTGGGTGTGGGGGGAGGGAGATTTGGCTGAGCATATAAGTGGGGGCAGGGAGAGTTTGGGGTAGGGGGTTTTCTATGCAGAGAAGGGTGGTTGGGTTGCCCTCCCCACTGGTGTTACTGGGTAGCTGGTTGTGGGTTCCATCCTTGCATCTGGGGATGTTGTGTTGGGAGCTGTGATTTCCTGGTTTTCTCCTCTCGCCCTGCGCCTCTTCCTTGCTTCTGCCGCCATGGCTCCCTCCTCCTTCGTCATGTCCCTCTGGAGGAATACATTTTTTAATTCTCCCACATTTTGCAGGTAGCTCTTCCTTGTTAGAATCTTCTCCTTTGTGTTCTCGTTTGCAAACACTATCTTTATCACACGGTCTCGGTCTTTGTTGTACCAGCCTAGCCTGAAAACCTTGGCTGCGACAGTAAAAAGAAAATTTTGGCTGTCGAAGTGTGTGTGTGTGTACTCACCTATTTATACTCACCTATTTGTGCTTGCAGGATCGAGCATTGACTCTTGGATCCCGCCTTTCCAGCCATCGGTTGTTTACAGCAATGACTCCTGTCCCATTTCCCTATCATACCTAATTTTAAAAGTATGAATAGAGTTTGCTTCCACAACCTGTTCCCCAAGTGCATTCCATTTTTCCACTACTCTCACGCTAAAAGAAAACTTCCTAACATCTCTGTGACTCATTTGAGTTTCCAGTTTCCACCCATGTCCCCTCGTTCTGTTATTATTACGTGTGAACATTTCATTTATTTTCACTTTGTCAATTCCCCTGAGTATTTTATATGTTCCTATCATATCTCCTCTTTCCCTTCTTTTCTCTAGTGTCGTAAGGTTCAGTTCCCTCAGACGCTCTTCATCTCCCAGACTTATTTATCCACTCAGTTTCAAAATCGATTTGTTGATTCATGCCCCACCACTGTCAACAGATTTAACAGCTCTCCAACTAACGGTCCACATAATAGCTTGACACAGATCAGCCGTAAGGAGAAATACAATGTGGGAAATAAGAGGAATGTACGCGATTTAACATCAATGCTCTACAAACGTGGAACTGAGAGACTACAAGCAACTAGCAACTATATTCGCAGAGCACCTAAGAAATATTCCAGGAAATTCAATTATGCAGCCGAAATTAAAGTTGGAGAGGCAGGAGATGCCCCCGACCATCATTCAGACGAAGAGTTTACAGCCAAATAGCAAACAGGCAGTGGTGAGGTAATTTGCATGGGATACACAGATGACGGAGTAGTATAGTGGTTGTTATATGAGAGCCCGTGACGAGAGCCTACGGCTGTTCGATAGCTACTTAGTCTTTGTCAAGAATAAAGCAGTGAATGTCATAGCAAGATACTGTCGTTTAAGAACACAGTTCGAGAAGACGCAGCAATGGATGGGTACAGTCGCTTTGTAAGACAGTTGCTTAACTTGCACCGCTAGCTTTGCCCTCCATATAAATAGAAAGTGTCTGTCAGATATAAATTACACTGTTTATATCTTAAAATATTGAGTTATTATTTGTTATAATACTCCTTTAAGAGATGCAACTGATGATTTACCGTTAAACTTAAACTAATAGTTAGAATATTATCCCATAGGAAGAAAGAGATGACAACGAGGAATGTGTCCCAAACAACAAGAAATCTAATGGGTTTTGTTACAATAAAGAAAAGGAGTAGTTTGCATTATTCCCTCACGGGTCTCTCACGCGCCTTCCACGGGCCTCTCACGGGCTCAGCAGTGAGTGTGAACAGGAGACAACAGGTGTGTGCTGAGTTGGATTCCCACATATGTATTGTGGCAAGTTTCTCGTGAAATGCGAGGTATTGCCGAGTGACTTGCTAAAGATGCCAAAAGAGAGGAGTCGATAGGGAGGATACTGAGTGAGATCGGTTGTCATTTTATCTTATTCAAATAATCCCCCTCCTTTAGACCGATGTAAGAATATATTACGATGAATGCTTATTTCATACTCCTGTCCATGAGGCTTCCATGTCATGTTCACCAATTAGCTCCCTCCAGAAAATGTTTTGCAGTTCTTCTTTCATTCCATTATGGTCTCTTCGATGTTAATCTAGAAATAATCTGTACTAAATACTCCGAGGACACAAGGCGGGATTCCATTGATCTGTTGCACATGATATGCTACCCCCCCTCACCCTGCCGCTACCCCCCATAACTTGTCGTGTGACAATTGTGGCACGACTTGAATGCTTCTATTTCTTGTGAGTCAATCAAGCGAGGCTTGTAATCCCTCTACAGGCCAAGTGATAGGAGCCAGGTGAACTGTCCCATGTTTTTGGCTGTACAGTACCCAAACGTTTGTCATGCCAGGAGACCCTCAAAAATAGAAATGGAGGTCTTACAAAATTGTGGGCAAAAGTGGCTGATGATATTTGTGGGTGTTGTAGGCACAATTTTGACCGGCACTCCTCGTAACACATAAGCACACACTTGCTTGACTTTTAAACGCCACAACTGCATCACAAACACCATATCTTCACCAGATACCAAACAATAATCAAACACAGAAGCCTCACTTGGTCGAAGAATATAAATCATGTATTCGGTAATTAGCAAGTGAGGAATTTCAATTAAGGCCCAGCGCGACCTCCATAGTGCGGCCGGTCTATTGATATGCATGGACTGATCCCTTGGCGCTAGGACCACTGCGCAGGAAACTGTTCAGTGCGCAACCCTCCTGCAACTCAACACCAATCACTGTCTCCTTCTACTAGCACAACACATATGATTAAAAAAAAATTATTAATTAATTTTGTCAGGGGACAGCCTGCATATATATATATATTATTATATATATATTAGTATATTTTGGTAGCAGTCTTTCCTGTAGACATATATTATTAAATATGACCGAAAAAGTAAGATTAATAATTCTAACACGAATTTTCTCAATCTTTCGTACATTACGCTTCACTCTTGGAGGTAAATCAAAAATCAATTCTCCAAAATTCATTTTTATTTCTAGTTTGACGCGACACGGGCGCGTTTCGTAAAACTTATTACATTTTCAAAGACTTTAGTTCACAAATACACAACTGAATAGAACTTACGTATCTCCGATTTTATATCTACATTTGAGTGAGGTGGAAGGGGTGATGTGGCATTAACACAAGACAGAACAAAATGTGGTATTAATAGATGAAATTAATATCAACACAATAAAATTGTGTTGATGAAATTATATATATATATTATATATTATATAATATATATTATATATATATATATATATATATATATATATATATATATATATATATATATATATATATATATATATATATATATATATATGTCGTACCTAGTAGCCAGAATGCACTTCTCGGCCTACTATGCAAGGCCCGATTTTGCCTAATAAGCCATGTTTTCCTGAATTAATATATTTTCTCTAATTTTTTTCTTATGAAATGATAAAGCTACCCATTTCATTATGTATGAAGTCAATTTTTTGTTATTGGAGTTAAAATTAACGTAGTTATATGACCGAACCTAACCAACCCTACCTAACCTAACCTAACGTATCTTTATAGGTTAGGTTAGGTTAGGTAGCCGAAAAAGTTAGGTTAGGTTAGGTAGCTTAGGTAGTCGAAAAACAATTAATTCGTGAAAACTTGGCTTACTAGGCAAATCGGGCCTTGCATAGTAGGCCGAGAAGTGCATTCTGGCTACTAGGTACGACATATATATATATATATATATATATATATATATATATATATATATATATATATATATATATATATATATATATATATATATATATAATATGCAAACAAGCCTGAATGGTCCCCAGCACTCTATGCAACTGAAAACTCACACCCCAGGCATGTGCTGAGAAAACTTGCTTGTGTCCAATGTGGTGCTGAGAAGGCCGGTTTGTGTTCAGGGTGGTGCTGAGAAAACCAGCGGCGGAACCTCATGGTATTTTCCCTGTCAGAGTCGTAGTTGTAAGTGTGACTGTGCCGGCGTGGAGAGTGTGAAGGACACAGATAATTCCTGGCCGCCCATTCTGACTCGGCACGGAAGGTTCCAGGTATTTGTTTTTGAGTTGTATATGTTGGTAGCTCACCTCCGATTGTCTCTCAATTTATTGTTGTCCAATAATAATTAAGATCAGTAAATTAATTGTCAAGCAGTGAAGAGATTAATAATAATAAATTTCCTGATTTTAAAGGATTTCTTCTATTGATAATTACTTAAGTCTCGGCTTTTCATGTTCTTGACCCTTCCTCAGGGCTCGGATCTTTTTAATTACAACAGCGGTTATATTATTTGGACATATGAGGAGTGGTGGCAGCGTTTAACAAAATATGATCTTACATATAATTATCCTTGTCATAATATTCAAACAGACCTCCTTTACGCCTCCTGTGGAATATGCAATAGGTTCTCAATAGAAGGGAGACGCGGTTCTTATATCATGGTGTATATATGTACCTTGATAAAGCACTTAGAATGCGAAAGAATTGATGTAAATATTTACTTATGTATTTGTGTATTTTATGGAAATATTAAAATGTGTGTTTTATTCAATATTATTATGTCTGTGAGAAGATATTACCATTACTTATAAAAAATTATTGACGAGCAAAGATTAGCGAAAAAACAGGTCAATTAAAAACTGGGACAAATAAGATACTGATAATGACAAGGAGGAGAATAGTATTTTAAATAAACATTTGGTTTCTGTAACTACTAAAGAACCTAACATTATGCCGTCAGACGAAGAAGTTTACATTGGTGAGGAAGAGCATCCAGTACATGGCAGCATATCCCAACATCCAGTACATGGCAGCATATCCCAACATCCAGTACATGGCAGCATATCTCAACATCCAGTACATGGCAGCATATCCCAACATCCAGTACATGGCAGCATATCCCAACATCCAGTACATGGCAGCATATCTCAACATCCAGTACATGGCAGCATATCCCAACATCCAGTACATGGCAGCATATCCCAACATCCAGTACATGGCAGCATATCCCAACATCCAGTACATGGCAGCATATCCCAACATCCAGTACATGGCAGCATATCCCAACATCCAGTACATGGCAGCATATCCCAACATCCAGTACATGGCAGCATATCCCAACATCCAGTACATGGCAGCATATCCCAACATCCAGTACATGGCAGCATATCCCAACATTCAGTACATGGCAGCATATCCCAACATCCAGTACATGGCAGCATATTCCAACATCCAGTACATGGCAGCATATTCCAACATCCAGTACATGGCAGCATATTCCAACATCCAGTACATGGCAGCATATCCCAACATCCAGTACATGGCAGCATATCCCAACATTCAGTACATGGCAGCATATTCCAACATCCAGTACATGGCAGTATATCCCAGCATCCAGTACATGGCAACATATCCCAGCATCCAGTACATGGCAGTATATCCCAGCAACCCAACATCCAGTACATGACAGCATATCCCAACATCCAGTACATGACAGCATATCCCAACATCCAGTACATGGCAGCATATCCCAACATCCAGTACATGGCAGCATATCCCAACATCCAGTACATGGCAGCATATCCCAACATCCAGTACATGGCAGCATATCCCAACATCCAGTACATGGCAGCATATCCCAACATCCAGTACATGGCAGCATATCCCAACATCCAGTACATGGCAGCATATCCCAACATCCAGTACATGGCAGCATATCCCAACATCCATTACATGGCAGCATATCCCAACATTCAGTATATGGCAGCATATCCCAACATCCAGTACATGGCAGCATATCCCAACATTCAGTACATGGCAGCATATTCCAACATCCAGTACATGGCAGTATATCCCAGCATCCAGTACATGGCAGTATATCCCAGCAACCCAACATCCAGTACATGGCAGTATATCCCAGCAACCCAACATCCAGTACATGACAGCATATCCCAACATCCAGTACATGGCAGCATATCCCAACATCCAGTACATGGCAGCATATCCCAACATCCAGTACATGTACATGGCAGCATATCCCAACATCCAGTACATGGCAGCATATCCCAACATCCAGTACATGGCAGCATATCCCAACATCCAGTACATGGCAGCATATCCCAACATCCAGTACATGGCAGCATATCCCAACATCCAGTACATGGCAGCATATCCCAACATTCAGTACATGGCAGCATATTCCAACATCCAGTACATGGCAGTATATCCCAGCATCCAGTACATGGCAACATATCCCAGCATCCAGTACATGGCAGTATATCCCAGCAACCCAACATCCAGTACATGACAGCATATCCCAACATCCAGTACATGGCAGCATATCCCAACATCCAGTACATGGCAGCATATCCCAACATCCAGTACATGGCAGCATATCCCAAAATCCAGTACATGGCAGTATATCCCAGCATCCAGTACATGGCAGCATATCCCAGCATCCAGTACATGGCAGTATATCCCAGCAACCCAACATCCAGTACATGACAGCATATCCCAACATCCAGTATATGGCAGCATATTCCAACATCCAGTACATGGCAGTATATCTCAGCATCCAGTACATGGCATCATATCCCAGGAAGCAAGCATCCAGTACATGACAGCATATCCTAGCAAATAGCATCCATTACATGAGAGCATATTTCAGCAACCCAGCATGCATTACGTGACAGCATATCCCAGCAACCCAGCATACAGTACGTGGCAGCATATCCCAGCATCCAGTACATGACAGCATATCCCAGCATCCAGTACATGACAGCATATCCCAGGAACCCAGCATCCAGTACATGTCAGCATATCCCAGGAACCCAGCATCCAGTACATGACAGCATATCCCAGCATCCAGTACATGACAGCATATCCCAGCAACTCAACATCCAGTACATGACAGCATATCTCAGCAACCCAGTATCCAGTACATGATAGCATATCTCAGCAAGCCAGCATCCAGTACATGATAGCATATCTCAGCAAGCCAGGATTATCTTTCCAGCATGCTGGCCATCTAGTCCACGTGCGACACCTATTGGTTTGTTATTATCCCGCTGGGGGAGAGTTAGCGGGTGTCGGCGGCATACACATGGCTTCCACCGCCGTCCTCTGACGGACTGTGGCTGCGTGCACCAGCTGTTGCACGCTGCTCCTGAACCACGCAACGCCACACACCACCCTAACGCACACAGCACCCAACACACTATCCCCTCCCCACACATCACCCCTACTCAAGTGGGGGAGTATGGGGGAAAGTGGGGGAGTATGGGGGAAAGTGAGGGAGTATGAGGGAAAGTGGGGGTGTATGGAGGAGTGAAGAGGAAAGTGGGGGTGTATGGAGGAGTGAAGAGGTAAGTGGGGAAGTATGGGGGAAAGTGGGGGAATATGGGGGAGTGAGAAGGAAAGTGGGGAAGTATGGGGGAAAGTGGAGGAGTATGGGGGAAAGTGGGGGAGTATGGGGGAGTGAGAAGGAAAGTGGGGAAGAATGGGGGAAAGTGGGGGAGTATGGGGAAGAATGGGGGAAAGTGGGGGAGTATGGGGAAGAATGGGGGGAAGAATGGAGGAAAGTGGGGGAGTATGGCGGAAAGTGGGGGAGTGAAGGGGAGTGAAGGGGAAAGTGGGGGAGTGAAGGGGAATGTGGGGGAGTGGGGGGGAAAGTGGGGGAGAGTATGGGGGAAAGTGGGGGAGTATGGGGGAAAGTGGGGGAGTGAAGGGGAAGTCGGAATTTCAAACTGCGAATAGGTGCAGAGAGCAAGAATTTGGGTCCAAAATATGGCTCAGGTATCGAATTTGGGATGTTTGGGATATTTTGAAAAATGCAGGGGGGTTTGGGCAAAATGTGACCCACAGCCGCTTTCAGTAATTGGCATATTTTTGGAATAAAAAGTCGGAATTTAAAACTGCGAATAGGTGCAGAGAGCCAGAATTTAAGTCCAAAATATGGCTAAGGTATCGATTTTATTTTTTTATTTATTTTTTTTTTTTTTTTAAGATATATACAAGAGTTGATACATTCTTGTACAGCCACTAGTACCCGTAGCGTTTCGGGCAAGTCCTTAATCCTATGGTCCCTGGAATACGATCCCCTGCCGCAAAGAATCGTTTTTTCATCCAAGTACACATTTCATCCAAGTACACTCAGACCTGTGGGTGCTCGCTCAGACCTGTGGGTGCTCGCTCAGACCTGTGGGTGCTCGCTCACACCTGTGGGTGCTCGCTCACACCTGTGGGTGCTCGCTCACACCTGTGGGTGCTCGCTCTCACCTGTGGGTGCTCGCTCACACCTGTGGGTGCTCGCTCACACCTGTGGGTGCCCGCTCACACCTGTGGGTGCTCGCTCACATCTGTGGGTTCTCGCTCACACCTGTGGGTGCCCGCTCACACCTGTGGGTGCTCGCTCACACCTGTGGGTGCTCGCTCACACCTGTGGGTGCTAGCTCACACCTGTGGGTGCTCGCTCACACCTGTGGGTGCTCGCTCAGACCTGTGGGTGCTCGCTCACACCTGTGGGTGCTCGCTCAGACCTGTGGGTGCTCGCTCACACCTGTGGGTGCTCGCTCAGACCTGTGGGTGCTCGCTCAGACCTGTGGGTGCTTATTAACACCTGTGGGTGCTCGCTCACACCTGTGGGTTCTCGCTCACACCTGTGTGTTCTCGCTCACACCTGTGGGTGCTCGCTCACACCTGTGGGTGCTCGCTCACACCTGTGGGTGCTCGCTCACACCTGTGGGTGCTCGCTCACACCTGTGGGTGCTTATTCACACCTGTGGGTGCTCGCTCACACCTGTGGGTTCTCGCTCACACCTGTGGGTGCTCGCTCACACCTGTAGGTGCTCGCTCACACCTGTGGGTGCTCGCTCACACCTGTGGGTGCTCGCTCACACCTGTGGGTGCTTATTCACACCTGTGGGTGCTCGCTCAGACCAGTGGGTTCTCGCTCAGACCAGTGGGTTCTCGCTCAGACCTGTGACTGCTCGCTCACACCTGTGGGTGCTCGCTCACACCTGTGGGTGCTCGCTCACACCTGTAGGTGCTCGCTCACACCTGTGGGTGCTAGCTCACACCTGTGGGTGCTCGCTCACACCTGTGGGTGCTCGCTCACACCTGTGGGTGCTCGCTCAGACCTGTGGGTGCTTATTCACACCTGTGGGTGCTCGCTCACACCTGTGGGTTCTCGCTCACACCTGTGGGTGCTCGCTCACACTTGTGGGTGCTCGCTCACACCTGTGGGTGCTCGGCCACACCTGTGGGTGCTCGCTCACACCTGTGGGTGCTCGCTCACACCTGTGGGTGCTCGCTCACACCTGTGGGTGCTTATTCACACCTGTGGGTGCTCGCTCAGACCAGTGGGTTCTCGCTTACACCTGTGAGTGCTCGCTCAGACCTATGGGTGCTCGCTCACACCTGTGGGTGCTCGCTCACACCTGTGGGTGCTCGCTCACACCTGTGGGTGCTCGCTCACACCTGTGGGTGCTCGCTCAGACCTGTGGGTGCTTACTAACACCTGTGGGTGCTCGGTCACACCTGTGGGTGCTCGGTCACACCTGTGGGTGCTCGGTCACACCTGTGGGTGCCCGATCGGACCTGTGGGTTCCCGGTCACACCTGTGGGTGCTGGATCGGACCTGTGGGTGCTGGATCGGACCTGTGGGTGCTGGATCGGACCTGTGGGTGCTGGATCGGACCTGTGGGTGCTCGATCGGACCTGTGGGTGCTCGATCGGACCTGTGGGTGCCCGGTCGGACCTGTGGGTGCCCGGTCGGACCTGTGGGTGCCCGGTCAGACCTGTGGGTGCCCGGTCGGACCTGTGGGTGCCCGGTCGGACCTGTGGGTGCCCGGTCACACCTGTGGGTGCCCGATCGGACCTGTGGGTGCCCGATCGGACCTGTGGGTGCCCGATCGGACCTGTGGGTGCCCGTTCGGACCTGTGGGTGCCAGATCGGACCTGTGGGTGCTCGATTGGACCTGTGGGTGCTCGGTCACTCCTGTGGGTGCTCGATCGGACCTGTGGGTGCTCGTTCGGACCTGTGGGTGCTCGTTCGGACCTGTGGGTGCTCGTTCGGACCTGTGGGTGCTCGATCGGACCTGTGGGTGCTCGATCGGACTTGTGGGTGCTCGGTCGGACCTGTGGGTGCCCGATGGAACCTGTGGGTGCCCGGTCGGACCTGTGGGTGCCCGGTCGGACCTGTGGGGGCCCGGTCACACCTGTGGGTGCTCGATCGGACCTGTGGGTGCTCGATCGGACCTGTGGGTGCCCGATCGGACCTGTGGGTGCCCGATCAGTCCTGTGGGTGCCCGATCGGTCCTGTGGGTGCCCGATCGGTCCTGTGGGTGCCCGATCGGTCCTGTGGGTGCCCGATCGGACCTGTGGGTGCCCGATCGGACCTGTGGGTGCCCGATCGGACCTGTGGGTGCTCGTTCCGACCTGTGGGAGCTCGTTCCGACCTGTGGGTGC